CCAAAAAGTAATTAACATGTGGAATTCACTTTATCAGGAAGTGGTGGCAGCTGCAAGCATAGACAAGAGGGGATTGGATAAATATATGGAGCAGCGGTCCATCAGTGACTTGTTAGCCACAAGGTACAGATGGAAAACTGTCTGGGGCAGTGATGCTCTATATTCTTGGTGCTTGAGGGGCAACAGTGGGAGGGCTTCTGGAGTTCTGGCCCTGCTGATGGTCCTCCTGATGGCACCTAGTTTTTGACCACTGTTGGACTGGATAGGCCATTGGCCTGATTCAAAATTGCTTGTGTTCTTATAAGCAGAGCATTCTTTGTGAAAGAGTTTGGCTGCAGTCAGATTGATTTACGGTACGTCTCCCACAACCAGTTGGTCAGTCCAGTCCCCACCCTTACATCATTCCTTATGTAGAGGGCACGTGTAATTTGAAAGAAAAAAAAGCCTTATGAAAACAGAATAAAATTTCGTTGGATTTATACACCATTTAAAATCCTTAGACCAATTAGTAGAAGGGGATTAGGGTCACCTGATATCATGTTAGATTATAAAGCTTCTGGATTAGCTGAGATGGTGCATTGGTACAAGGAAACTTTCTAGTAACATCACCTGTATGGTCTAAAGATACAGAGATCTCACTTGGTATCAGCAACTCAATCATTAACTCAATACTACATGTTTGGTATACTGTAAAATCTAATCTCAGTCCAGGTCTCTTTCACTTGTCTGCTATATTCTTTAACAAATAAAATGTATCTAATTTAGGAAATAATCAAATTGGGAGAGATAATAATCTTGATAATCTAGAAATGTTAGTTATAGATCAACATATGTTGGTATATGATGAGGCTGTATTAAGAAGGCGTGGAATTAAACCCCTACTCTTTCAGATTTTTCTGGTTAGGTATTTCATGCATATGTTGTTGCAAAAATATGATGGTGTGAGACCTGCAATGCCTTTTGAATTATTACTGAATGACAAAACATCTAAGAGTAGCATTACAAAGATAAACTCGTGGATAGGTAATTTTGATAACTCTTATTTGAGTTATATTAAAAACAAGCAACAGTCCTAACTTATTGGATTTGTATGGTGTGTTTTTGTCAGTGGGAGGATGTGGTTGTGTGATGTGGCTGTGCAAGTAGTTGAAAATGTAATTTGTTTATTATGGGCTAACCTTTTTTTCCTTTATAGATTGTTCTTGCTCCAGAATGTATAGACCTTGTTTAGCAATGTTTGGGAGGGATGAGGGCTCCAGGGGAATGCTGATTAGCTAATGCTGGCAGCAGGATAAGTGAGTGGCAGTTTTTATCTGAGTGCGGGAAGAGGCTGAGTGGGTTCTGACTGAGTGAGGGCTAGAAAGTAGGAGGGTATGAGGGAAACAAGGAAACATGAGGAAGGAACATTCCCTAAGGACTTACCTTTGGTTGGCATTGGTCCTGGTCACACAAGCGGGATGATCTGCTGCCGAAGGGAGGCAAATTAAAGCCAGAGCAAAAAGAACCACAGGAGTGCGATCCGACATGCCCCCGTGGCTCCGTGCTCCCTGCTCCGACAGCCGATCACACTGTTGTGCAGCAAACTGGCAGTAGCACAGTTGTGCGCATGCGTGGGACGGGGAACGGTGCTGGCTGCGACGGGCTACCAGCGCTTCCCCAACCAGACGCCTTCCATTGCCGTGCATCATCCGGAAGGTAGTGCTCTGTTTGATGCGCGTTTGTGGGCTGAAGGGACAGATAGGGGATGGGTGAACACCACTTCCCAGATGTTGCGGTGTGATCACGTCCGCTTGATGCACCCCCGATCCGTCCCTCTTGCAGGGCAAATCCTCCCGTATGACAGGGGTCATTGTTGGACAGTTAATCTGGTTTGCACACAACCTTCAGTATGTTGTGCTGCATTGTTTATTTGGTCTCTGCATATGTGGCATTAAACAGTTCCCAAGTATGCCAAAAACTCAACTGACAGAAGTCCCAGCATACTTTGTACCTCTTCAAGTTAGATTTTCTTTTGACACAAAATCAACTCTGGAGAGTCAGCAACAGTTAAAAAAAAAGAGAACATAGGTAGTGCAACAAGCACAAAATAATGAGCACAGATGGGCAGAAAAGTTAATACCCTCCTTCAACAAACAGGCAAAGTATTTGGGATTCAGCCACTTGCATATCCCACACACCTGTAGGCAGAATTTGGCAACATTGTTAGTTATCTCCTGGGAAGAGTCTGAAAGAAGGAGAGAGACATAAAGTTGTTCCGATCTTTCTGGTAAAGTTGACAGAATTGGAGCAATATACTGATGTCGGATGTCATTAGAGAATGGGCAATGCAGCAGAACATGTTCAATAGACTCTGTTTTCCCTGTGTGACATGGACAAAGCTGTTGAGGAAGCAGGAGAGCTGAACAACTTCTATCAAAAAATCCCAGAGACACTTAGAGTTGCAAGAAAGGAGAAGTGTGATACTCATGGCCCGTCATCAGCTGTCAATTGAAGAGACGAATGAGTAGTTTCAGGATGACTGCCAAGGCTGGGAGTTTAGCTCATTAAGACTTGTCTATAAATTCAGCTGAGAGAAGCAGCAGTTTGTGGCTGCAGCACAGTACACTTTGCTACTGAGCCACCAACCTTGAACCTTGGGCTGGACCTGGCAACCATCTTTTCTGGAACCCCTGACCTCGGACTGGACTTGCTGCCTGGAACTCCTTGGCCCTAGACTGGACTTTGGTAAACCTGCTCTCTGGAATCCCTGACTTTTGGACAGGACTTTGGTTACTCTCTGCAACCTTGCCTTTGCCCTGCCCTACCGGACCCCAGCCTATGCCTCCTGGGGAAGCGACATCAGTATAATATGAATAAAGAATGTAGGGAGCATTGGGGGCCACCAGTTGATATTTGATTTTATCATCTCTGGGGATGTCATAGCATTTCCAGGAGCCTTGCCAGATTTCAATTGATTTATTACTCTTTTAACTTCATTAACTGTTACAGGTGGCCATGCCAGGAGGCTTTGTAGTTGGATTTCCAGGGGTGTATGTAGGTCTGTTTCAGACACATGAAGGCCAGGGACGTGAGATTCTGAAAGGCAGGGCAAAATAGTGCAACTTTACTTTGAAAACCCTGTATGGAGTTCAGCCCTAATTAAGTGCCAAAATGTTGCAAGGTTATTTGATTTAGAGGCTTGAATCATCTGGGTCCAAGAGTCCCTTTGTGCTTTTCTTTTCTTTTTTCTCCATTAGAAGGTTCTTGTAGCACTGCCTTAAGGTTTTAAGCTCTGGGGGCATTTTGGATGTATAACTTAGCTGGTACTGCTTGAATTTGGCCACTACATTGTTTTACACTGCATGGCAGTCTGCATCAAACCAGGTCTTTGATTTGCTTATCATTAATGGTTGGATATCGTGGGCATGAGGTTTCACTAGGAGAGTTTGCATCCAGCCAAGACTAAGTCATTGGTACAATGAAATGACTGTGTCTATAGCATTTGCTGAGATCACAGTGTTTTAGAGCTGAGATGCTTTTTCTGAGGTAGAGTATTTTTGGCATTAATAATCTACATTCATCAGACAAACTATCTTCTGTAGCTTGGAATGGGTTCGAGGTTATTGGCAGATAACTCACTAAGGATGTTGACTCAGTGTGCTACTGCAATAAAATACTTCGGTAGTTCTTAGCTTTTGTGCAGCCTGGACAGTGAAAAAGAGAAGAAGCCTATAGATTATTTTTTGTGGTCTTGGCCCACAAAAATCTTTCAATCTTAGTTGATTGAAAGTCAATTTCAACCTTGCTGTTCAGCCTCTGTCGATAAGTTTGGACTCTTGCCTTCCATTCCATTGTATTTGAAAAACTGTATGCTCACGAAAGCTCATATCTTGAATAAACCTTTGTTGGTCTTAAAGGTGCCACTGGATTCTAAATTTGTTCTACTACTTCAGACCAATGCAGCTGACAACCTGGAACTAATTTCAACCTTTGTGTTAGTTTCCAAACATTCTGCCCAAGTAATAGGTTGCTCAAGGGTTGGTAGGTTGAGAGGATCTAAAAGGGACTGCTGCAAAGTTACCAACTTCTGGGGCGTGAAGAATTCAAGGGAAGCAGGGCCCATGGGTTCTAGTTCACTCTGGTTGTAATGTACTTGGCTAAACTGAGAGAAGCTTTCACTCTTCAATTACAGAATCCAGTCTTTCGGAGTTTAATTTTGAGATATTGGGGGGGGGGTTTTAACATAAATATCTGTAAGGTCATAGCTTAAATTTAAGTCACAGTTTATTAGGGGAGCCTCTTGCATTTCTATTTGAAGTTTATCTTGTCTTGACTTTCCCTTGGTCCATCCTCTGGTGAAGGTTTTTAACAGAGCAGCTCTAGATCACAAATTTGTCTCTTTAAATCAAGTAAGACAGACTCTGTATCTTTATACACTCTGTATCTTTATACACTCCTTTTGGGAGGTTGGATGGCTGTGTTTCAGTCTGTGTTTCTCTGGATGGATTTTCTTGTGCACTAACAGTTGGCTGCAAGCCAGGTCTCGCTCTGCTGGCAGTGTGATAGAAGACTGGTGTTGTTTTACTGGCATTCACATAACCAGGAGCAGAGGGAGTCACCTGTGCCTGTTGCTTGGGAGGAATGAGAGAGATTACACACTCATCAGAAAAAAAAACTATGCTATCAAAGATTCTGAAGGTTGAACCTCTTAAAAACAGGAACTACATGCTATAAAAACTTCCCTACAGCCTCTAGCAGAGTGATTCCACCAATAGCTGTCTCTAGGCTTACCTCTGAATCCTACAGCTCAATGGCATTCTGGTGCAGAGGTGCTACATGGCCAGTTTGTAGACTTGTGTGTCTGCAGAAGTGCACTGGAAGGCATTATCTCTCTCAGTTCCCAACGTATATTCTTGCCTTTCTGCATTAATATGTTTTCTTGGAAAGGGAAGCATGTCAGCATGCTGCTTTTGAGTGTCTTCGCCTCTTCCTCTAAGTGTGTCCTTGTGTCTTTCTTGCAGGAGAATTTGTGATCTCTCCAGTGGAAGGGGAGCTACGAGTGCGAAAAGATGCTGAGCTTGATCGAGAGAACATTGCTTTCTATAACCTCACAATTGCTGCCAAGGATAGAGGGGTACCTCCTCTCAGCTCCACCGTAAGTCATGGAGTCAGGGGACCAGACTGAAGGCAAGGCTGTGATATTTCCATGAGTCTTTAGAGAGAAGCATAGTTTGAAAATGAATTGAAGAAGAATTTGGGTCGTTCTTGGCTTTTGTGCAGCCTGGATGGTGAAAAACAGAAGAAGCCTATAGATTATTTTTTTGTGGTGATTCTCTGAGACATAATAGACTTATCTGCTGCTTCTCTTTGTTTCAGGTCATGGTGGGTGTGCGGGTTCTGGACATTAATGATAATGACCCAGTGCTCCTGAACTTGCCAATGAATCTCACTGTCAGCGAAAATGCACCCATCTCGAGCCCTGTCACCCGCATCTTTGCCAATGATGCTGACAGTGGCCGGAACTCTCTTTTAACTTTTAGCATCACAGCAGGGAATATAGATAGCGCCTTCTATATCAATGGCACGGTAAGTCTCCAGATTTCTTTTCCACCTGCAGAGATCCATACAAAGCTTCCTGCACCACAGATCCAGCACAAATACCAGCTACCTAGAGCCTTCTTCAGTACTTGCAGGGATTGGTTTTCAATACAAATGGACATATATACATGACATGGAGGCTTAATTTAATTATTAGTTTTTATTAGGCTCATGATGTTTTGCAAGCACTAGCCAGATATCTGAATGACGTAAATAGTTCCATATCATTGTATATTTTTATGCATTAATGACAGGCATATGCAAAATCTCAGCCTTCCTTTCCTGAAGGGGCTGGGAGCAGAAGTGCATTGCTGAATGTTCACTGGTGATGGTGCTCAGCAGTGCACATAACTGAGGGATCCAAACGTTTTAATTTTTACAACTAATTTTAGACACCCCCAGCTTGATGAGTAAGCACTCAGAGCTCTTTTCAGGGATGATGAGCCACTGTGTCTGGAAATATGTCACTAGTTTGTTCCCAAAAGGACTTTGTTAAAATCTTTGGTTTCACTTCTTGGTTTCACCAATGCACAGATCCTCAAGTAATAGTCAGATTCTGACCTGCTTTGTGCAACATAGCATGTTAGTTGCAGAACTGAGATGGGATTAATGCAAGTCCTTTTTGCCAACATGCTGGGTACAGAGAAAGAGAGAGAGAGAGAGAGAAAGACTATCCTATTGTATTATCCTCACAGAGTCTTGTCCAAAATTTTAGCAAGGGAGGTTACACTTCTCAGCACAACGACTGATCATTTCTGTCTCAAGAGAGACTCCTAATTCTACATCCCTCTTCTCATACAGCTGATGGCCATGGTGACTTTAGAATGTTTTGGGACCTTTAAGGCTATTGTTGCTGAGATTCCAGCTTATCTGGAGGAGAACAGAGGACTATCAAGTCTCCTTTCTTAAGACACAGGAGGTAGCAAGTTAAAAATAACCGTACCTGAGAGAGTGGGCTTTTTATCCCCAGTCTGTACCTGCTTGTGAGAAGGAAACAGATATAGGCAGGGGTCTTGTTTCAGATCTTTATGGCTGGGGGCTTACCAAAATAACTCATTAGCATAACTTATTTGCATATGCCACGCCCCCTGACATCACCGGAAGTGACAGAAGGCCACGCCCCCTGACATCACCGGAAGTGTGTCAGAAGGCCCGGCTACTTACCCTCCTGCTTCATCCTCATTCCCAAACGGAATGTGGATCGAAGCAGAGGGCGGGGTAAAGAAGGGGGCGGGGCTTCACCACGTGACCGCCCCGCCCCCTAGAGGTTCTCTTCCGGAGCTCCGTACCTGAGAGCTCCCCCCCGACTAGAGCCCTGGATATAGGCATTACCACTGTCTCAGATCTTTATGGCTGGAGGCTTACCAAAATGTTTACTTCTTATTTCCTTTATTCACTTCTCTAAGATCTTGGTATCCTTAGGAGCAAACTGCACCTTCAGGGTGTATATCTTCATCCATACTTGGACAGTACCTCATCAAGGTCAGAGACTCACAATAAACTCAGAGGGGGAGTTATTGTTGATATCTTCAGAATTACAGATTCCTGGCCAATTTCCATGACCCATCTGGAAATTGACATACAACTCCAATGGGTTTTTTCTCTCAGTAGAGCACAGGAACAATCTGTTGTAGCTGTTGCACAAGGTGAGGATGAGTTAATGGGAAAGTCTTCTAGAGATATTCCAATGTCTAGAAGTAGAGCTATCAGGAGAACTTTCTTATTACTTCCTTGGGTAGATATTGATATCAGAATGTCTGAATGGACAGTTAACTCTTCAAGGGGACTAGCTGATCCAGAAACAGGTGGGCCAAAAGAGTAGTCTGTTCTCAATGTAGTTATAAATTACCATGGAAAATCCATAAGATTTCTCAAGGAATTTTTAAAACCTTAAAACAAATCAAGGATATCAAATTTAAATATGGCAGCAGCAATAGAAGAAAGGGCTCTGGAAAAAGATGTATTACTTAGACATGCAAAAAGAGAATTTGAGCAGCAGGTTGCTAAGAGCATCAAGACAAACAATACATGTTTCTTTAAAAATATCCAGAGCAGGAAACTAACCAGAAGAAGCACTTGGGCCTTTGTTCATTAATGATTTGGAGTTGAGAGTAAGCAGTGAAGTGGCTAAGTTTGTGGTTGACTCTAAGCTGTTCAGGGTGGTGAAAACCAAGGAGGACTATGAGGCACCCCAGAGGGATTTGTCGAGGCTGGGCGAGTGGGCATAACATGGCAAATAAGGTTCAATGTCGGCAAGTGCAAAGTAATGCACACTGGAGCCAAAAATCCTAACTATAAATATATGGTGATGGGGTCCGAACTGGGAGTAACTGCCCAGGAGAGAGATCTTGGAGTCATGGTAGATAACTCACTGAAGATGTTGACTCAGCATCCAACTGCAATTAAAAAAGGTAAATGCTGTGCTGGGGATTATTAGGAAGGGGATTGAAAACAAAATCTGGAACACTGTGTACTAGTGCCACTGGTGGACCTCCTAATGGCACTTGGGTTTTGGCCACTGTGTGACAAAGAGTGTTAAACTGGATGGGCCATTGGCCTGATCCAGCATGGCTTCTCTTAGGTTCTTATGATTGCTAAAAGAAGATGGGAAGATGGCAGAGAAGCTCAATGAATTTTTTGCTTCTGTGTTCACTGTGGAAAGTGAACCCATTCCTGAGTCACTATTTTCAGGAAGGAAGTCTGAAGAACTGAGTCAAATTGAGGTGACAAGAGATGAAATTCTAGAGCTGTTGAGGAAATTAAAAACTAATAAGTTTCCAGGTCCTGATGGCATACACCTGAGAGTTCTTAGGAAAATCAGATGTGAGATACTAACCCATATATGTAACCAATACTAAATTCAGCCACTGTACCAAAAGACTGTAGAATAGCAAACGCAACACTGATTTTTGAAAAGGGGTCCAGAGCAGAACCAGGAAATTACAGGCCAATTAACCTAACATCTGTCCCAGGCAAATTAGTAGAAACTGTAATCAAAGATAGAATATTTAGGCACATGGAGGAGCAAAGCCTGCTAAGGGAAGATCAGTACAGCTTCTGCAAAGGGAAGTCCTGCCTCACCCTTTGAGAAAGTGAACAAGCATGTAGATAATGGTGACCCAGTAGACATCATATACTTGGACTTTTCAAAAGCTTTTGACAAGGTACCAAAGACTCCTGAGTAAAATTAGCAGTCATGAGATAAGGGAATGGGTTCTCTCGTGGATTAAAATTGGTTAAATGACAGGGAGCAAAGAGTAGGAATAAATGGACAGTTCTCACAATGGAAGGAAGGAAGCAAAGGAGTCCCAGAGGGATCAGTATTGGGGCAGGTATGATTTAATTTATTCATAAATATCTGGTACTGGGGGTGAGCAGTATGGTTGCCAGGTTTGCAAATGACACAAAATTATTCAGAATGGTGATAACCAAGGCTGACTGTGAAGAGCTCTTAGAGGATCTCCACAAGTTGGGTGAGGGGGCAGATGAAGATCATGCACAAATGTGGCAGATAAAGTTCAATGTTGGTAAGTATAAGGTGATGCACATCAAACAAAAAGATCACAACTTCAAGTATAGGAGGTCTGAACTTGCTGAAATCGAGAGGGGGAAAGATCTTGGAGTTGTTGTAGATAGCTCAGTGGAAGCACCGACCCAATGTGCTGCAGCAGTGAAAAAGGCAAACTCTGGCTGCGATCACACACTCCTTTAGATCCAACATAGGCGCAAATGCCTGATGGATCTAAAGGGAATGATCAGACAGCAACATCTGGGAAGCGTCCCGCAGTCGTCAGCAACCCATGCTGCTCTGCCACGGAAGCAGAGTTAAAAGACATTGGGGAAAGTGTTATCTGGATAAGGTGGGCCACGGGCGGACTTTCTCCTGTCTGATCACTCAAGCATGCTCTCATGCTGTCGGGATGGTCTGATCAGGCCATCCCGACTCCAAGCCGTGGTCCCCCCCCCTCGCAGTATGCACATCATCTCATCACATACTCCACAGGGAGTCCTCAAGTACAGAGGTGCGATTCCTCGTTTATGTGCAAGGGAAACAAATGGCAAAAAAAAACCCCGACTCACCCACAGTTGCGTCTGATCACACAGTGATGGGCTGCGCCCGCAAAGGGCTCTGTAGTTTTGCAACTGTATTTCAAATTCCTCTGGAGGGAATAGCCTCACTTGCCCTCCGCTTCAACTGGCGCATGTGACTGCAGTCTCTGTGTTGCAAATTATTAGGAAAGAGATTGAAAATAAAATGGCTTATATTATAATGCCCCTGTATAGCTCTATGGTGCAGTCCCATTTGGAATACTATGTGCAGATTTTGCTGCAAAAGGATGTAGTGATAGCCACAGGCACAGACAGCTTTAAAAGGGGATTAGATGAATTCATGGAGGAGAGGTCTATCAGTGGTTACTAGCCATGGTGACTAAAGAGAACCTCCATGTTCAGAGGCAGTAAGTCTCTGAATACCAGTGCCCAAGGCAACATCAGGGGAAAGTCTCAGCCTCTATGCCCTGTTTGCAGACCTCCAGAGGAACAGGTTGTCCACTGTGTGAGATGGGATGCTGGACTAGATGGACAAGATGGGATGGGACTAGATGATCCAGCAGGGCTCTTTTAAGTTGTTATGAGGACATTTAAGCCTTTCCCCAATCAATTTTAAAAGTTCTTTACAAAGCACTTGATAAAGGGAGCAAAAGATATAGACATGTTTATGGTGGAATCCATGGCTTCAGATCTTCTGCATGTTTTTATTCCAGTTTCTTCCAAAGTTGCTTTAAAAAGTCGGGAGGGAAAAGTGGAAGCATCCCCAATGACTCCATTTTAGCTGAGGAGACCTAGTATTCCAGAATTTTAGATCAAGTGAAGGAATAGCCTTTGGTATCCAGGACTGATTCAGTAGTTTCCTGGCAACTGAGCAGTCTCAATTAGGGTCACTTGGTTACTTGCTGGCACTCCTATCCATGCTCATGGCTTCAAAGCATACGTCTGTGAATGAGGTATATGAAGTTACATGTAGGCTCATACAAGAAGAAAGGAGTTTCAAATAAATATTCTGGATGTTGTGCAGTTCTCTAGCAGATCTTTCCACTAAACATCAGTTTGCTGCCCTTAATGCTGTCTTATCTTGTAAAAGTTTTTTTTTAATTCCCTGCATGCTTCCACGCGAAGAGGCTCCTGAAGAGGGTGGAGCAGTTTTCATACATGTTCAGTTCACCAGTTTCACACACAGAGCCTTATCACTATCTTGCAGGCCCTCTCCAGACCTACCTTCCTAGAAGAGAAGCCATCATCTGGCAGAAAGTCCATGCTAACTGTCCTATCTGTAGAAAAGACAGATGTTTTCCATACAGACAAAGTGATCTGTCAGACTCCAGCACAGTCTGGCCAGGGTCCAGAGCTGTTATACCCTCCAGCATCTGTTTCTGCACAGCTGATCCTGAAAGAGCCTCAGAACTTTCCTGATGCTGCCAATAAACCTTTCCTGGAGCTCTAGGGACAGACCTGGCCCTTCATCCCTGACTTTCCCTGGTTTTACCTTTTAAAGGGAACACTAGATGTGGGCCACCCCCAAACTCGCCCCCTTCCTCTGTTCCTGGGTTGTGCCCTAGAGGAAGTGGCAGGCTCTTCAGCCAATGGGCTGATGGGAAGGATTTCACATTCCCTGGCATTGCTCTCCCCTTTTCCCTTAAAGGGCTCTCTCTCCTTCTGTGGGCCTAAGAAGGTTGCCCTCACCTGTGCCCTCTCCCCCTCTCCAAAAAGGGGCCATCTTGGGCCCAGCATTCCGTAAGGCACAGGCTGGATGCTGGCCTGCTGCCAGACGTGCCTCCCTTATCAGTGACCTGGGCTCTTGGGGCTTCATTGGGACAGCCCTCCCAGTGGGGTCCATGGCTGTTCTACCAGTGGACAACATGAGGTGGGGATACCATCCCCAGACATGATCATTCACACAGATCCAGGGTTTGCCCTGAAGATCGTCTGACATTTAAAAAAAATAGACCTGCCTTCATTCAGCCCTTGCTTGGCTGAAAGACAGTGACATGAACTGTTTATGTAACACCTTAAAGGCCTGCTGCAAAAGAATTCAAAGCGCAAGAAATCTGGGATCCTTTTGTTTATTTGGAATGGGATCCCTGTTCGAATTTCTAAGCCTACTCTGGCCAGAAGTATCAAGAGTTGTATTAGCACAAGTATCAGGCTCTTGAGGCAACTACTGGCTACTCTGCCCCACACTTCAGTGTCCCAGAAGCCTTCTGGGATCATTCTGAGTGTTATTTGATTTTCATGTTGAAGGTTTAGAATGAGGGTGAGCAGAGCCGGCCCCAGCTTATCTTGCACCCTAGGTGAGGATCCCTTCTGGCGCCCCCCCCCCCCCCTCGGGCGCGCCAACCCACCACAAGCCATCGCTCCCCCGGCCCTGCTGCTGCTGCTGCCAGCCTCCAGCTGCAAGGAGGAGGAGAAGCGCTCGCGCTCTGCTGGGAGGCCGAGGGGGCAGGCAGGGAGAAGTTAACCGGCCAAAGAGGCGGAGGGTGGCAGCAGCGGCGGCGGGGGTTACCCGGCCGCGGAAATGCAATGGCGGGGGGCAGTGCAGTTTGGCACCCCTAAGGGCCAGCACGCTCTAGGCGAATGCCTCGTTCACCTAGTGAGCGAGCCGGCCCTGAGGGTGGGAGCCCACCTCTGTAAAGAAAGTCAGTTAATTCCCTGCCTCCTGTATCTCAAGGAAGAAGATGAGATATCCAGAACAAAGTAAGACAAAATCTCCCTTTCTCACAGCTTAGATACACTTATTCCATTCAGAAACTGTTGTGCGAAAGGCCTGTTTCAGTTGTCATATTTCCAGTGTACTCTCCTCTATTAGCAGCATTCCCTTGAAGAGGGCCAAACTAGATATGAGGGTTTTGAAAGAGCTGGGTCCAGGTTCCCTGCAGCCACATAGCAGCTGCAAGGAATAGCTGTTAAAAAATTAAAAGAGCCCATTTTGGGCTCTGAACACTGCTGTGGGGGCGTAAGAACTCTGCCCTGGCTGTTTTCTCTTGCTGAAGCAGCACTGGGGGTTATTTCTTCATTTGGCTAATTCTGTGCATGTGGAACAGCAAAAACAGAGAAATAACCTAGCACTATTTTGGTGCAAGGAAACAGTTGGATTGGGGAGGCAGGAGTTCTTCCTCCCCTCACAGTGGCATTCTGAGCCCAAACAGGGTTTCTTTTATTTTTCAACAACCATTCTTTGCAGTGGATGTGCCGTGGTGGGGAATCTTTGAAACCCCGCGTATTTCAGGTTGTTATGCTACAGGCCCAGGGCCAGAGGGGACCATAAGAAGAGAAGAGAGAAGAGATTGGATTTATACCCCGCCCTTCACTCGGAGTCTCAGAGCGGCTTACAAACTCCTTTCCCTTCCCCTCCCCACAACAGACACCCTGTGAGGTGGGTGGGGCTGAGAGAACTCTGACACAAACTGCTCTTTTTCAAGGACAGCTGTGCCAGAGCTTGTGACTGACCCAAGGTCACATCAGCTGGTGCAAGTGGGGAATCAAACCCAGTTCTCCCAGATTAGAGTCCACACACTTAACCACTACACCAAACTGTACCACATTGCCTGCTGTGCTGTTTTGTTTTGTTTTTTGAGCAAGCTGATGCCTGAATTTTTACTTACCACCAGGGCTATTTTTGTGCAGGAACACACAGGAACAGAGTTCTGGTTGGCTTCAGAGTTGGCCACGCCCACTATAGCCAAAACCTGCATGCATGGCTACAGAGGGAAGGCCTGGAGAGTGACCCCCCGGCGACTCCAAGGTGGGTGGGCCAGGGGGGCCCTAGAAGGATCAGGGAGGCATTTAAATGCCTCCCCGTGCCTTCCCTCGCCTGTCCAAGGGCCAGCTTGCTGCGGGGCGCCTGAGCAATTCCCTTCCCTTCAAGGGGGAGCTTGCCTGGGCAAGCCAAGGGAAGGCATGGGGGTGTGGCCTAATATGCTAATGAGCTGTGCTGTCAGGTGTGGCCTATTATGCTAATGAGTTCCTGCTGGGCTTTTTCTACAAAAAAAGCCCTGCTTACCACCTTTCTGATATATCTAAAGAAGTTAATAACTGTCAATATATTACATTATCTTTGGCCTATCCAAGTTGTGCCAAGATCAGGAGCCTCTGCCACCCCTCTTATTTATACTACTGAGAATCTACAGTGGATATCCTAGAACCCAAGACCATGGCTTTTGATTTAGGGAAACAGTATGGTCCCTGCCAAATTTTACCCCGACTTCATGTATATCAGTTGCTGGCAATTGATGGTAAAATCACAATCTAATTCCATCCCATTTGACCCCCCCCCCTTTTCTTTGTTATTCTCCCCAGACTGGCATTGTGTGTGTAAACCGCCCACTGGATAGAGAATTGGTGCCAGAGTACAAATTGACTGTGACAGTGAAGGACAACCCAGAAAATGCACGGAATGCGAGGCGGGTAATTATATTCACCACCAGGGTGTCCCACTTTAGCACTGGGGTTAGGCTTATAGAGAACTTTTCATATAATACTGTCCCAGAGAATGGATGGAATTATGAGGTTCTTTTTTTTTTTAAGCTCCCGGAGGAGATTTTTTATTTTTTTATAATACTACATAAACTACCAAGAAAAAATAGGGATAGGGGGACTACAATTAGGGAGAAAGAAAAGATAACCCACACTAAACTAAAAACCCAAGGTTAGGATATCATTCCCTGTTAAACTGCTGTTAGTAAAAGAAAAGGCTGTTAATAAACAATATACTTTGTGAGGTCCTGTCTTTCTAAGCTTATATGTTAGATTGTTACTTGTTATGAGAAGATTTCCCAAGCATCTCCTCCAGCTCACTTCATAAAAGCAATTTGCAAAGTCCTTCTGCCTTTACATCTATACTAAAACTCTCTAAATTCTTGATAGCTTCTTAGACGTTCACTGCAGCCCAATCTTCTTCCATCCAAAGGAATAGAACTGCTAGTCTTAAGCCTCTTCCGCTCTGGTCTCAGGGTCCAGTGGCTTCTCAAAGGTTTCTTGATTATGAAGGGCACCTCCAGCTCTTTTTTCTCAGCAGACTTTAAGATGACACTTTCTAAGAACACTCGCAGGGAAGAAGTTAAATCCTTGTAAATTTTTCCTGTTTCTCTTTTGCTTTTTCTTCTTTTCTCATTGAGATCGCTGTTTAATTTAGTGTCCATCTCATTCGCTTTGAGAGCCCTCAATTCCATTTTTTTCTCCGATCACCTCCTGGAGCTGCCGAAAAACAAATTGTTGATTCATCTTGGCAAGCTGCTGGTTAATACCAGCAAGTTGCTCCAGGATCAG